GGCAACAGTGCCCGTCAAGCCATCAAAGCGCACTGACCGGATGGATGCAGATGAGATGTTACCAGCCAGTGTCACGGCCTGCATTGCGTCAAATAGGTGACTCACAACATACGCACCGTAGTCGTCAAGCTGTTGGAGATCAAAATAGCCCTGCTTGACAAGGTTCACTACGGATGTATACTGCGACACAAAAAGCGCACCCCAAAGCTTCACAAGTGGTTGAACAGAGCCTTTTAAAAATGCAAGCACGTTGACTGCCTCGCGTGAACCGAGTAAGAAGAGCTCATCCTGTTTTCCAAGACGTACAACAGCAGCACGAAGACGCATGAACTCGTCTTCCTTCACAAAACAAAGAACACCGGCCGGACGATATTCCAACACCTTACGGATGACATCGTCATCATCGTCAGAAGTACCACTGACTTTTATAAACACTTTCGTGACAACTGTTGGGGCCGAACGCGCAAAGGAGATTTGACTATCCAAAACAGACTCCACCCCTGTCCCGTACGCATCACTGCTGAACACAACGGCAACGGAGTACCATGCTAGCTCAGAAGAGACAGTTTCTAACACACCACGCAAATTGACGATATCTTGCGGCACAACACATACCGTGTTTGGATTGGTTTCAACATCACACAATTTAGGGTTTGATGTGTGTGCTGAGAGAATTGTGAGACCAGCAGTTTTTTCGTTTCGTCTTAAAGCATCAACAACAGCAACCGAGATGTCGGCGGTTTCTACAAGAAACAAAACATCGATAAATGTCTCTTCATGAAAAAAGAGCTGTTCCAAGTGTCCCAGGGCGGAGAGTAAACTACCATTAGAATCAAGAATGAAGGGCCTTTGAGGAAACATCTTGGAAATATCCACACTGGAGTTAATGTACTTATCGATAGCTGCCTGCAGTGAAGTATTCGTCATTTTTGTCTGGCGAAGGTCGAGAAGAATGGCGGAGCGGAGAGGCTCCTGTTGGCTATTGACAAACCCTGCCAGCACAAGCAGGCACACCACGGCCACAGCGATGGAGCAACGTGAGTGAGGCGGCATTGTCAACAACTGGAGAGTTCCTTCCGTACGGCTTGCTTTCAACAATAAATACCTCTTGACAGATCCTCTACAACAACACAACAACCAAGGAAAAAACACACAACACCGTCTTTTTCTTCTTTTTCCCTTTTTTATTCCCTTTTCGTTTGTTGATGTCTTCTTCAACCTCTGCCAAAAGGAGCTGCCTGCCTACGGTGCAGCAGGTCTTTTTCGTCCCAAATAATGATTTTCCTAACGGAGCCCACGTCTGCTTTTAAAATGCACCTCTTAGACGGGCTTCACGCGGTCTTTTTTTTTTTTTTTGCTTTTCCCCCTTTCCCTGAGAGGATGTTGCAGCAACGGGCCAAGAGCGAAAAAAAAAAAAAAGAAAAAGAAAAAAAGAAAAAGGGAGGGAAAAGGCAGAAGGGCAGGATCAGGTGGCTGCACAACACGGAGAGTCACTTTAAACACATGAGGGGCGGCATTGCACCGGCGATGCATGGATGCTCCTTAAAAGGGAGTCACACGCTCTCTTCCTTCTAATTTCTAGAAAGAGCGTGCAGTTTGCAACACAAGCGGGCATAAAAGTGGGGAAAATAATAATAATAGTAATAATAATAAAAAGAGCAAAACCCCGGCTACATCCCCTCTATAGCGCCAAGCGCAAACTGCGACTGTTTCAGTTATTCACGCTGTGCGTCAAAAAACAACAACAACAAAAATGGTGGAGAGAAGAGTAAAAAATGACTGCACTGAAGTGCAGGTCTGATATTCTCTGATAAAATAAAAGCCATGAGCGAGAAATGATAATACTTCTATTAAAGTCAACAACGACAAAGAGGAGTCATTGTGTGTGAGTGCCTTTGGGGGTTGCTCCACCTGTAGGAGGGAAAAAGAAGCAAACAATGATGTACACCACATCAATAAACATTCTCCTCCCTTTCCTCCTCTCTCGCTATCATGTACGCTCTCATTTGAAGACTTCTCCACCTCTCTCTATTCTTTTATTTTTGCTTGGAGACACTCTTCCCTTACCAGAAATCCGCATATACGTTCCTTGTTGTTCTGTGAATGTCCCATGCAGTTTTTTTCTTCCTCCGTTTTTTTTTCTTTACTTTTTTTTAATAGGCCTTTCTTTTTGGCTTCACTTTTTTTTTTTTCTTCTTTTTTTTATGTCGCGGTTTGTCTGGAGTCCATATAAAACAGGGCTCTTCCTAATCCCATTTTCCTCTAGTTTTTTTTTGTTTTGTTTTTCCCTTCTCCTTTTCTCTAATATTGCGTCTTTCTTCCACTCTCTGAATATGTGCTAGACACAAATAAATACACGCACCTCTCTGTTCGTATTTAGGGGCCAATATATACAATGTATTATATATTGCATATAATATATACGATCTAGAGAAACTACAGACGTTCCCCACGTAACTTCAATGCCAGCTGGATGTCCTTTGGGTACACCGTGACGCGGTTGGCGTGCAATGTGCAGAGATTGGCATCAGCGAGAACGGAGGTGACATACAGCTCGGTGGATTCCTGCAGAGCCTCCACGCAGGTAGCGCTCATACGGAATGAGTCCTTCAAGTTCGACACAATCTCTCGCACGAGGCGGCGGAATGGCGCTTTCGCGATGAGAAACTCTGTTGAGCTCTGGTACCGGCGTACTTCGCGCAGCACGACAGTCCCTGGGCGCCATCGGTGCTTCTTCCTTGTGCCGGCGCTGGCCGACTCCTTCTTGGCAACGATGCGACCTTCCGTATGAATCTTGCGTGATGCGAGATTCTTGCGGGGCTTCGGCAACTTTGACTCCGATGAAAAGGCCGAATGCTTCTCCACTGAGGCCACTTTCTTCAGAGATCCCATCTGTTTTGGGTTGCTTTCGTCCTTGTTGGTCTCTTCCCTTTTTTTTTTTTTTCTATTTCCGTTTCTTGTATGTATTTATTTCTTTTTTTTTTTTGGAGGGAACAACACGGTCTTCTGTGGGTATCAGTGATCCGTGAGGCAAAATAATTTGTGTCTGATGAGAGCCCTCCGCTCTACTATTTCACGTGGTTGCTGTGTGTGCCGCTGCTTTTACCGTGGGAGGCGCTTATCCCACCGCATGCAAGTACACACAAAATTAAATAAAAAAGAAAAGGTAACAAACAAACAAAAGACAACAACATATGAACATTCAACAATGTAAGGAATGAAATTGAGCCAAAGAGACGTTCAACGCACAAAATGATTTGGACCATCTTCGTTTCATGCCCACGCGTTTATACCAAAAAACACCACCCGACAAAACGGCAAAAAGGAGCCAACTTTGGACGTTGCCAAACAAAGCAGCAGCAGCACGCCATCACCGCCGCCGATGCCACTTTTCCGCGGCTTTTGCGCCCACTCCTCTCGTTTTTGAATGGCTCCCCATTTTACACCGTTTTTCTTCCATCTTCTCTTTGCCATTCACCCCCCTCCCCCCCATCGACAGTCGTCCGATGTCTCATCTATGAAAAAGCGGACGGAAAGAAAAAACAAAAGCGACAGGACGCCGCGCCTCTCCTCGCTTTTTTAAATTTTTGGGCTCTTATTTTTTTTCTTCCCCCCGCCTTCGTTCTTTGGATCTTTTGACTCCCCCACACAGGCCCTCTCTGCGCTTCTTTTCAGGGCAACATGCAAAGACGCGAAGCGCCTTGCCAAATGGAACCGCCTTCCTCTCTTTAACCGCCACTTTTCGTGGTCGCAGCCTAATTTTCAATGCAATTTGGAAGACAAATATCCCACAACACACAAAAAAGAAAGAGAGTGAGAATGAGAGGGTACGCTGAACACTGGTGAACAGGCCCTCTTCCTTCTCCCTCCCTTCCCCCACCCACATGTCCACATATATATATACAGACACAATGTGCTCTATGGACTCCAGTTTCATTTGTTCATACACGCTTCGAGAGTGTCTCCCTCAGTTTCTTTTTTCTTTCGTGTTATTTTAATTTTCCTCTATTATTTTAAATTAATATGCAAACGCCCTAACCTAATTATGATCGTGCTGAGTCACGCCTCCTTGGTCGTGTCGCTGCCGCTCAAGTAAAAGGACGAGGTACTGCTCCACCTTTGTCAGGTTGCCCGGCTTCCACTCCACTCCAAGGTTGTTCATCGTTGAAGTGAGCCAGTGCTTAACCAACTCCTGCAAGTGTGGGGCGAGGCCAGTTACTCCAACCTCATATAGGCTGACAGCATGCTTGGTTGAGGAGAATGCAGCAACAGTGCCGTACGTGCATGATGGACTCTCTGCAGCGATGGCTGCATAGTGATGGGGTGGCATACAGAAATCATGTAATGTAAGGTCCAGGTGGATGTGTAAAAAAGGCATCTGATCAATTATTGATTGAGACAGCGACGCCGTGTTTGCACTGCACTGCTGCACGTCAACATCATCGTCATCTGACATCTGCCGCCGTCCCGCATCTTGCAAAATCCACGAAGGAAGAACTGCCGTGACAGAACGTGTAAATACACGACGTTTGTTTCGGTAGAAAGCAACTACAAACAATTCTTGGAGACCAAAATCACTCCAAAGAGCGCTGGCGACGTTGTTGTAGTCTTTCATCGTTTTCAAGAACGTCGTTGGGTCCCGTAACAGAACTCGGGCTATGTCACCCGAGATTTCCCCTCGAAGTGTGGTGGCATTTTGGGACCCATTCACGACGTTCTGATCCTTCTTCAGAGAGAGAATGAAGGCAGCGCCCTGATTGATGCATCGCAATTCCACAACACAGTGATTTTGCCTCAAGGTTCCTTCCACCGCGTCATCAAAGTAGTAGTTTTCCTGGTACTCTTCATGATCCTCAGCTTGCTGCAGGCTTCCCCCACCATTAGGGTTCACGTCTTCCCGCAAGGAGAATTGGGACCAATGCCGGAGTGACTGCGAGACGGAATCCCTCACGTTATGCGATGAAATCGGCAACTCCCCTCGGCCAGAAAAATACTCACTGACAGCGCCGGCCTGCGACATCAAGTACTTCGACCCCTGAGACATTCCGGAAGGCAATGGAATGACGGCGGCGGTCTGACAGTCGTTTTCTAACCACCTGAGAACTTCATTGTAGCCTTCAGCGCCCATGATGCAGAGGTGTACCCCAGTGATATCCAGAGAAGGGGCTCTTAATCCTTCCGAGTACTTCATAAACCGTGAGGACTTGCTTTCCAAACTCCTACTGTACTTAATGTGGTGTAGTTGTAGGAAGTGCTCCAGCTCTTCGCGAACGTCATTAACAGGATCGGTAATTTCCGTCACTTCAATTTCATATTTTTTTCCGAAAGGAAAGTCTGTCTCATCTAAACGAATGCTTGCACCCTGCAGGAGACTCTTTTCTCTTAGGGCGTGTTCGTGTGTTCCCGTCTCATTCCCATAACTGTCCGGCGAGACGTAATGGTACACCCTGCGGTGTGAACTTAGAGATCCCACCATTTCAATGGGCTCCGCTGCGCCCGACATGTTTTCAAGGGACTCCAGCTTTTGAATCATGCAATTGATGGGGGCGTTTGAGTCCTCCCTCGCGTGGGAGCAATGTCGCCTCAGCACCTCCATGAGGTCCACACCACTGAGAATCTCGTCCTTGACCGCCTCCGGTAGTTTGTGTACATGGCTGGCAAAATACATCTGGTCTCCTCTCTCCACCCTGTTATTATTCTTCAACGCCAGAGAAGAAAGCTTCTGCGTCGCCGTCTCCCCCGCAGCTACCGGTACTCGGAGCCTCAGCACATCACTGTTCTGCTTCAGAATTCGCGAGGGAAAATCAAAAAAGTAATCCACGTAAATTTCTTCGCCCTGCAGACGCAAAGATGGGAGCTGCGCCAATCGCTGGAAGTTGTCCCTGTCTTCGAGAAGGAGTTTAATACCCACCTGAATTCCATTTGCCTCCCCCATCCCCAAGGCCTTTTGCCTCACCTGAAACCGCCACAATTTAAGAAAGAAAAAAAAAGGATTCTAACAAGACGCTACCGCCACAATAAAACCAAAGAGAGAGAGAGAGAAAATCATGAAG